GCCTTCGACAGAAGGAAGTGCCTTCGGCTCAAGCTCCTTTGGCGGAGGCTTTACCGCGGAAGATGTACGAAGCATTAGGGAAGCATTACAAAGCTCATTCGGCGGAAGCAAGGAAGGAAAGGAAAACGGCAAAAGGGAGTGCCTTCGTCGTTAGTACCTTCGACACAAGCGCCTTCGGCGGTAGACGCCTTCGACGGTATGCGGAAGGAGATCTACTCCGGCGGAAGTCAGCGCGATTATGTCAAATGCACAAGTGTGGGAGTCCGCGCAACGGCGGAGCGTGAATTCGCGCGTGTGAAGCATATCGTTACACCTCATCGCCGTCACAGCATTCAAGCGGCCCGTTGCCAAGTCCAAATGTCAAACTTGACAATTCTTCATGGGCAGAGGGGGAAGCTCACTCAAGCATTACTAATTTCGTGCCTACCCGAACTCTCGACACGTTGTAGCTGCAGAAGCACGCAGCGATTGTCAAGAATTCGATTGCCAAGTCCATTCCATTGAGGATGGTGCCATTGCGGGTGCCGCAAGTTGGATTGCGGGCATTTCAAGATGAATTGACAGCGGTGAAGCTCGATTTACTTTTGTGGGATGGAATTGGGTGTGCCCGGCGATGGTCCGAGAGTGGCTGCGCGAGAAGGACCAGCCTCCGCGAGGTTATCGACCGCACCCGGAGAGATGGCGAGTGAGTGATTGGGAGCAGATCTTGGGAAGATGTGCGGGAGAGGAAGGTGACCTCCTAATTGACAGCGAGAGTGTGCATCTCTCGGAAGAAGAAGAGTCTACCTTCGGCGCCCTTTTCAAGAATCGCAAGTCGAGCAAAAACGGGTACAAGATCCGTGACTATGTTGATCGCAAGCCTAGGAATGTCGCGGTAGCAATACTCCAGATTTTGCAGCCGCATATGACTACCTACATGTCATTTTCGTAGGTGGGATTTGTGGAGCTGGCGCTGGCGGGTACCCCAATTCATTGGGCTTGCATTTTGTGGAAGGTCATGCGTTAGCATGCAGGAGAGGAGAAGTGAGGGTCGATTAATCACCTTTCCCCTTTCTTGATAAATTTTTATCGGTTGATGGATTGTCTGACAGCGGAAGAGAAGATACAAGTTCCCTTGCTGTCGCGGACAAATTTGGGAAGGCTTGTGGGGGATGTCGAGGTTGATACAGACCCTGACGAAGTGCATGCCATCACACCACCAGCCTGACTAAGAGCAGAGGAAGAACGAAGGGGAGCGCGGGCACCCCGGAAGCGGAAATTTGATGAGGAGGCAGAACTGAGTCTGCGAGAATTGCTCGTTGTCCCAGTGAGGCGTCGGGCGATCAACAAGCAAGCCCGACCAAAGCAGAAGGCTCCCAAGCTGATTTTGCAAGCGGGCAGCAGCGCGGACACGGGGCGAGCTGCAATTGCAAGGGACTCACCATCCTCTGAGGAGGATGTGAGTATATAGCTTCTTGGGAGGTCGACTGACCTCCCTGCGCCGAAGGCACGAGTGCCTTCGGAGGAAGCACTTAGGCCTTCAGGCCACAGAGGAAGGTGTGCGACAACGCCAGAATGCATGGCAGGAGAGGTGCTTGCCTTAAGAGCAAGTACCGTTTGATGACACGTCTTCGGAGCAAGGGCTTTCGGAGCAGGCGCCTTCGGCGTAGGAGCAGTTCAGGGTGGTGCCTTTGGCAGAGGCGCCTTCGGCGTTGAAACCCCCAGAGAGCATTCCTACGGGCGAAGGCAGGGATGCGAAGATATGTGTGCCTTCGGCGGCAGCGCCTTCGGCGAGACCAGATTGGGAAGATGGAGTAGGTCCGTCTAGGGCAGGTTTTCCCTCCCCGTTGGAAGTACTAGCAGGGCATGGAGTGGAGGCTGCAGTATAGGAGGCAGCGAGGCCTAGTGCTAGAGAATCGCCCAAGATTTCTACAGCGACAGATTTCCTGGAGACAAAAGAGGACACGCCTTCGGAGGAAGAGGAGGTACAGTCGGTGCGAGGTACACCGACCGGAGTGCTTTGCGAGCAAGTGGTACCACTACTCCGATACCTTGATCGAAAGGCGACCAAGTACCGGGATCCCCGCTAGTGTAGATCCTATGTTGAGCTGGTCCGGAATTGAACGCGGATCAAGGTGGCAACGAATCCCGAATTGATGGTCATGGACCAGAAGTATCGGCAGTTGGAGGAGCGCTATAACTTTCTGCAAGATCAATGTGCCTTAGCTCAGAAACTGCAGAAGGCGGCGCTTAAGCTGCGAGATGAGATGGTGACCAATGCGCGGCGCGAAATTGATGAGCTGCGTGCGAAGGTCCAGACGGACTCTAGTGTTGACCAGATTCAAATCCGCAATCTGGCGGATGAGCTCGTGCGGAAGACGCAGGCGTTAGAGCAGAGCGAGGCCGTTAGAAGGGCAGACAAGGAATTGCTATGTCGACTGCAATCGCAGTGTGACGAATTGAGGACGTAGCGGGCGGCGGCGGAGTTACAGTTGGCAGAGGTTGAAGGCCACAACCGGCGCACGACAGATCGCACGCGGGAGGAATTAGTTTTGCGGGTTGACCGTTGTCTGAGGGTGTTATGCTCGCTAGGAGATCGCGGCGCGGGAGAGGATGACGTTGCGAGAATTTGAGATGCGCGCGACAACTTTGATGGCTGGCGACGGACGAAGTCGGCGGTGAGTGGCGGAGCGGTTGGAGTCATTCATGTCTAGGTCGCGGGAGGCCATTGCGAACCTCGAAGCAGAGGTTACCGAGGTGTTGCGGCGACTCGAACTGCGTAGGAGAGCATACGAGTGGACGAGTAGGGATTAGTGGGTCGTCAGCCGACTCATAGAAGGCATAGCCAATGAGGTAGAGTGTTAGGTAGTTAGGACCTTAGAGTGTATAAAGTAGTCCAAGGCGTTGGCCTTGGGGGATTTTCCAGTTTCGCGAACTCAAGTCAGGAAGCGTTTTCTCTACGTGTTGGTGTCTTTTGTTCTGTCACCACGCAAGAGGAGCTATAGCTTGTCGAAGTTACCGCATTTTATAGCGGAAGGCCTTCGTCCGAATGTTCTGTGTTAACATATTGAATAGTCATGATTTAAGCAAGTTCGGACTTACACCTTCGGACGTTTTTACCTTATTGTACTCCTTCGGGATTTTTCCCCTTGAATATCAAAGTGAAGTTTTGTTAACTTCCGTGTAAGCATTGGTTGATTTCAAGTTGAGTGTGTTAAGATGCCAAAGGCGCCTTCGGGGGTAGCCGTCGTAGTTTTTATGGGAATGACAGTTGCCTGAGAATTCAAACTCATCAATAGACTGTTAAGTTGTAACACTGGATCTTTTCTCCATTTAGTTTCTCAGTTCGGCTATCTGTATTCTCTGTGCGTTTTGTGAGGTGAGTGTGTTGTTCACCGCGTGACTTCGGTTTGATGAAGGTTTCGCATCTGAAGTAGTAATTCCAATCCGAATGCTCTGCACTAGCAGTGGCTAGTGACAGGGTTTAAGCAAGTTCGAAGTTGGTAGCCACCTGCATATACTCTAAGTGTACTCTTGGGAAACTTCCCCCCTGAATCTTAAGTGGAGATTTTGATCGATCTCTGAGTTGTGCATTTACAATTTCATGTGTGTGTTTGGGGTGTACTACGCTGCATTGAGTGTCCTCCGAGTGACCTCCGAGTTGAGCACTTGCAATATTTCTGGAAGTGATAGTAGCCGAGAATTCAAACTCCTCAATCGACTATTAAAACGTGACACTTTGTCATCTGTCTGTTGTTTCTGTCCCCGTGGGTTTGATCCTTTGCTGTTATACTGCAATTTAGCCTTGGCTGGGTTATCACAATAACCTTGTGGCAATTTTCATTGCAGACGTTGGAGTATTTGGACCGCTCAATGCAGAATAAGTTGTGAATGTTGATCTTTTAACTCATGTCATAACTGGTCATTATGAGATCGCTTTGTCTAGTGTTCAAGAATTTTTCATGGATTGGCTTCTTGGATCGAATCCTTATTTAACGAAGCCATTGAAAGCGATCTAAATAATCTTCAACAAGATATCGTTATTATTTATGTCACTACCTACTATTGGATCCGTGAAATTTGTGTATATCGAGATCAAAACAACTACGCAATGATTGATTTTGGTTGTATTTCCCTAGTGCTATCACATGAGCTCATCAAGTTATTTGCAACAGATTTTATACAAAAGATTCGACAACATGCTTTTCGATTGAAACAGTTTTATTCATTTGATCATATCAATATCATAATTGATAAGCATTAAACTTTAATCCATGCTCATAGATGTGAGCTAGTGATTCAAAGCATCATTGATCATGCTTTGACATATTACTTTGCTTTCCAGTAATTCAAAATTTAAATACAGTTGGTTTTCATTTGATGTTCAATTTTTGAATCTGATGTAATATTGTGACGTAATTGCAACGTTTTCTCCTGGAAAAAAATTATTTGGCAAAAAATTATTAAATTTTGGATTATAAAGACCCATGTAGACAAAATAATTTTTGTTCATAAAACAATTCAAGGATTGATAAATGCTTAGTAAAAATTTTATAATGAAAACCTTGGATTAGAATTAGTCATGAAATCAAAACAACTTTTGTTTTCACTATGTTTTGTTCTATGAAAAATTTTTTTTCATAAATATTTCATAGAAAATTTGTATTGAAAATGATATAAATAATTTTTGTCAAGGAGACTAAACTCATCTAAATTAATTTTGTTAAGGAGATTAAATTAAACATATTTAAGTATATTAGGCGAGTGACTATTATAACCATGCAAAATCAGATTCCATCAACCATTCTAATTGCAAGTGCTGCATCAGTGGGCTTGTAGTTTCACCTGACATAATTTCAAATGCAAAATACGCATGTCTTTTGGGAACGTTTGACTCTTGGACAATTTGGAAAAGACTCAGAAGAATATCAAAATGACGCTGAAAGTCGTCGACTTGTCGAATTGCGCTTTTCCTTACTGGCTTTTGCCTTGGGCCCTTATCGAGCGCCAGGGGCGGCGAGCAAAGCCCGCACGGGATCCAACGTGGAAGCAGCATAATTCTCGAATGACGAAAAGAATCCTCCGGGTGTGTCATGGAGCCTGGAGACAGAGCAGGAGGTACCTGTCGTAACGACGATGATTATCCAAGCAGCTTTCCGTCCGCCGTTCAGTTCAGCGCGGAGGACAGCTTGCACTTCTGCGCTGAATCGTTCCGGAGCTAAATCGCAGCTGGTGGATAGGAGCCGAAGGCTTTTTGACGAGGATTTCGTGCCCACACTTTCTTCACGTGGAGGACGAAGAGAGTTGCTGAGGAATGAGGGAGTCTCTGATAGAAAACCATCGATCCTAGTTCGATTTAAAGGCGTGGACGAAATGACCCGAGAAGAGGATGGCAGAAGTGGGGCAGCTGAAATCAAAAGAGTTCTTGTGATCGGCGCTGGTGCGGCTGGTCTCGCTGCAGCAGTCGAACTTGCTCGTGAAGGACATGATGTGGTTGTTTATGAAAAATCCTCGGAGATTGGTGGTGTTTGGAATTACACTCCAGATGCTGATTCTGATCCTCTAAGTATTGATCCCCAGAGGAAACGGGTGCACAGCAGTATGTATGCATCATTGCGCACCAACTTACCTCGCGAATTGATGGGCTTTTTGGACTTTCCTTTTCTTGCTAAAGAAGGAAGAGACAAGCGACGGTATCCAGGCTATGAAGAGGTGAATTCTTATCTAAGAGATTTTGCCGAGCATCATGATCTGCTGAGCTTGATTGAGTTCGGTGTGGAGGTCGAAAATGTGAGATTGAAGAAGGCCGGAAATGGGAACTCAGCGTCCGAGAGTAGAGACCTGAAGTGGATTGTCCGATCCAACAGATTTGGCAAATTCAATCACGAGCCACAAACGAAGGAAGACGTTTTTGATGCAGTGGTAATTTGTAATGGCCATTATGCTGAACCTAAGCTAATTAACATTCCTGGTATGTGTCCCTCACGTCACTCCCACTTTGATAAGCACATCCCAGAGATGTTACTCTTTCATTGAGTTAGTTCGAGAGAAGAAAATGACTTTATTCGTAAAATTAAGTTGACTCCACTTAGCTCTGGTAAGCGTCTGAAGATAAGATTCCAACTATATATTTATGCACTTTCATGTACATATTTTTTACAAGTCGTGGTTTGGTAGATTTCTGAGTCCTCTTACACTCTGAGATACACTATTGAGCAGCTCGAGGCTTTCAGGTGTAGAGAGCTGGCCTGGGTTTCAAATGCACAGTCACAATTACAGAGTTCCGGAATCTTTCCAAGACAAGGTATGTGCTTCATTCGTTTTGACTTCACAATGTGTACAGCATCAGTATTACACTGGTAATTTAACAGGCAAATTGTTTTCGAGTTTGTCAAATATGATAGGCGTAAGGGACAGATTGGAATCATTTGAATAAACACTTCTGGATGAAATGCCGAGTGAAGCAAGAGTTTATCTGATAAGCTCTCATCACGCATGTAATCCACCCACAAGCTGGAAGTAGCTAGGAGCTGCTATGCATGTCTTTGCAGATTTGTGCGAATTTAGGCAGTGCGGTTGATTCTTGTAGCACCACTTAGCCAGTCCGCCAGGTCTGTAGTCCTGAGGCAACCACTGATGTTTACAGTTCAAGTCTGATCATCTCGAGGTTAATTATATTTTGTACTGGGAAGGATCGCAGATTATCGTAATAATAGGCAATGCAAATAGTGGTGGAGACATTTCAAAAGAACTGGCTGAAGTGGCCAAAGAAGTTCATGTATGTGGTCGAAGATGGCCTGAAACTGCTCAAATCAAACAACAAGGAAACATATGGCTTCATCCCTTGGTATCCATCTATTTTATTTTCGAGGGTTTTATTCTTTTGCCTTCACAGATGCAATGGACAAACAAGGCTTCAAGCTCTACCAAAGACTGCCCTTATATCTTCTACCTTCGAAGACCTAGACCTGATAGTCATCATAGATGTCTCCGCTGGTCTGCTTCTTTCACTTCTTTGGTCGTAATGGAAGCATTTCTCATCGGTCCATCTTTCATGCTGGAGAGATTCTGAACTTCATGAACAACATTAATAGCTCGGTGCTGTTTTGCAGGTCGAACGGGCTTGTGAAGATGGAACTGTTAAGTTTCAAGATGGTAAATCTACCAGAGCTGATGTAATCTTGCACTGCACGGGGTAAACCTTCTTTCCTGCATAACCTGCTTCCTGCAAATTTGTGAGCTGTAGTAGTAATTTTAGAAAGCCTGAGTCATAACAATTACAATATTGTGGATGGACTTTGTTTTAGTTTCTCAGATGAAACTATTTTCTGAAATTTTCCTCTTGCCTCTAATTGATACCTGTGTTTGTGAAGGTACTTGTATTCCTTCCCGTTTCTAGATACGGAAGGCGTGGTCACTGTGAAAGATGGACGAATAGATCCTCTTTACAAGCATGTCTTCGTTCCAGCCTTCGGTCCGACGCTTTCATTTGTAGGCCTTCCTCAGAAGGTAATATGAGTAAACGTTTTATTGTCTGGAGATCTGCGTGTAGAGTGTAGAGATACAAACGTTGTAGATCTCTACACTAGGGCTTGGAAGATTAAGGCAGCTTGGCCCAACTCAAGGGATGTTTTCTTTTCGACAGAAATTTGTTCCGTCATGGTTTATAATCGATCAGGTGCTCTCGATTTTTCTTTGAGCCTCATTCTATGAAATCCCGATGAAGTCATCTGTTATCAGGAATGAAATTATTCGTTTTATGATACATCGCTTATCTTCTTTCCAAAGCTTGAGGCATATCAGCTACCTTTAAAGAGACTGAAGTGTCGCTAGCACAGCACTTTCTATTGAAGCTGATGAAGTTGGTTTGCCTTCCAGATAGTACCTTTCCCGTTATTTCAAGCACAGTCGAAGTGGATTTCGAAGTTGCTCTCTGGAAAAGTAAAACTGCCGTCTGAAAGCACCATGATGTCGGACTTGAAACAGTTCTACGATGAACTTGAAGCCAATGGCATTACGACTTACAACACTCACACCATGTTTAAAAGAGATCAGGTATAGAGGGAAAACTCTTTGCTGCTTTTATTAATGAAAATTCTCGGCTGTCGCTTGTTTTGACGCCTGACGATGTTTCAAAGTCCAAATCATGTAAGGAAATGCTCTTCTGTGTTGCGGCAAAGTGTACGCTGTAAACCTGAAATGTACGCGATGAACTTTTGTACTGAAATTTACTATTTGATCACTGCAGTTTGTCTATTGTGACTGGATACTGGAACAGTGTGGAGCTCAGCCGCTGGACTCTTGGAGAGAAGCAATATACTTTTCTGCTCACGCAAACAAAGGAACCAGTACTAATTATCGGGATGATTGGAAAGATCAGGATCTACTAGATACCGCAACAAAATCCTTGGTGGAGCTTTCAGAAAGGCTATCACTGCAAGTCAAATAGGTCGAAGACCTTTCTCGACCTGCACTTGAAGTATGGAGAGGCTGATTTGATTTTCAATTCTACGTATGTGGAGCAGATCAAGAAGCCAAGAGCATTGTCAGACGATCTCTCATCTGCTCTTTGAGCTATGTACAGTAGGACCTATGAAACTTGAAGTTTAGAGTGTTGACCTTTGACTGGAATTTGAAATGTATGATCAGTTTCGGATGTTGTAGAAAATCATTTTTAGCCAATAAACTGGCATGTCTTGCAACGAACTTTTTGACCAGATTGAAGAATACTGCACAAGGATACATTGTTATTATTTTTAATGACAATAAATAGTAGGGATTAAATAGCGAGATGAAATCTCATCTACTTAGTTAGAAAACCAAAGCAGGCTAGAAAGCTTCAAAGGGGGCCAAACTGAGAAGAATTGGACTAGCTAATAATTGCGTTGAATCATAACAGCACACCTTCTTTACACGCAAAGTGCAAATCTTTATTACATATGAACACCAAAACAATCATCAACATGCAAACTATTGAAATAAAGACAAATATGCATAGGCTCAAGTAAGTTACAACGCAATGCACTCGTGGTCCATAATATCTATTGCAGTAATGTAGAAGTGTGAGGGTAAAAGTGCATTATATTAAATGCTAGCACACATTTTAACAAAACTCTCAATATCCAGTTAATCGATGGGCGAACCTAAATCTTTTACTCAATCAAACTTAGTTCATGTAAACCGAGAGGTCATTCCAACACATGGAGTGATGTAGGTTGATAGTATTGTGTAAGTAGGGTACCAAGTAATATGGCAGAAAGCACGGGAATATGACATGAAGCCGTACATGGATGCAACTAAAGGTAACTGATATCGTCACAATAGCAAATAAGATCTTGGTCAAACAATCTGCAAGTTATGATAGCATCAAAAAAGTGCACATGTGATTGCAGTCTTATTGTGTTAGCTGATTGTAGAAAAAGTTGGTGTGCTGGTCGCATTGAATGACGACTGCGCTCAAAGGGTACTACTCCCAAACATCAATCCTACTCTGAACACGGAGGGACAATTTCGCAAACTCTTTGAGAAGGACGAACTCTGTGACTTATGTGGAAGAGGTCCCAGTTTGAATCTTGGAATGGATACTTGTGTAACTGAAGAACATAATTTATACAATATGTTAAGAAAAAAATGTGCTTATATCATCTATAATTCTGTCTCTCATAAATATTTCTAGTTCAGCATCCAGAGTTTCAATAGAATTCACATTGTAGACTAGGAAAGACGTTTTATTGTCCACATACATCAGGATCTAAAATTTTGTTTCTAAAGCGACATTTTGTCAATTCTTTGCACTAAAGTGTCATGAGAAGGATATGTGACCGAGTCACTGTGAATCAGATACATAACATAAAATAAAACAAGTTGATAACACACGGATGGAGATTTGATATCTATATTCTCAAGTCATAAAAAATACCATTATAAAATAATTTATTCTACTTCAAGATTTATAAACCAGAATGATATGTGTTATATATTAGATGAAGATCCATAATAGCCTGAGAAGCGTGTATGAGGTAACAAATGACATGTAAATTTAGAAACTTCGATTGCTCATTCTCCACTACCTACCCGTGATAGTAGATGTTTGATAAGGCTGCAAACATCTGAAATAAAACATTCTGGCGGTTGAAAATGCCATCCAATCAAGCTAAATGGATAGAATGCTATGGAGAGTGGCGGCTTTCGATTTGGAACTAGCAACAACTGCAGACATGTCGGAGGAAGATTGCAGCAAAGTTTCTGGTCCCGAGATCTCCCCTGCAGGAGTTCGTGCGGTGCTATTTGACATAGCTCCCACTGTGTCGAGCAAGTACTGGACTGTACTGCTGAGGAGGTACGTAGACTTTGAAACACAGCTACCGCTTTCGTCCTGGAGGGAGGGAGGGAATCGACAGCCTGTTTAAAAAACCCACGAGCAAATCGCCGACAAATTCACCAGGCCTTCCGTGGGTCACGACAGATCGTGAGATATGGACTGCAGTCGAGCTGAATTGTAGGTCCATGAGCGCTCGTTAAGGGTTCATGTTCTCACTCGAGGCTCACCCGAAGGACCATCGAGGGTGGCCCCTGGCTAATCTCGAAACAGACAACCGAAGAATACGCCGCCCGCACCCCCACAATCATGGACTGAGAATCCGAATCCACCAAAGCCACAGAGCCATCCATCCAAAAGCGTTCCATGCCGAACAATCGAGCCTCCCTCCACAAACGCTCTGTCGCCCAATTCGATCTGCCAAGGCCCGATCCCGATCACCACTTTCTAAAAGGGTATGGACCAACAGCTGTCCAGCAAGGCCGCGGGGCCCGTGTGTAATGGCGCCGGTGGACTTCATCGTCCATTGCGTAGATTATATGACAAGTCCCATCTGCCCTTCAACGCATGCCGGGCCGTACAGACCGAGACGGAGGCGACGAGCGGACGGCGGTCGAACTCCGGCGCGGAGCGCGACGCCCATCTGAGCCGTCGACGCAGCATCGGTCCGTCCCGATGCGCGAATCTTCCATCCATAGCTCCTGTCAGTCGAACCTCCGGGTCAAAGGTGGATGACGTGTAAGAGACGCCCCCAAGCCACTTGGCACAGTGGTCCACGTGGCCGCAGAAATAACTCCCCACCCAATTTTAATACTGTCCCAGACAGTATTAAAATCAGAGTAGACACACGGAAGTTCGAAGGAATAGAGCAAAAAGAGGGAAGATCTTATCGAAGAGAAATGAGAGAACCCATGATCCTCAATCATGGCCTATGGTCGATGGCATGGCATGGCAGGGGAAGGGATGGGATGGGAGGGGTCCGCGTAAGCTCAGAAAGAGAGAGCACAGTGCTCTTTCCGCATGCCAAGTAAGCAGGTGACCGGCTGGCATCCGTTGGCGCGTTGAAACTCGATGGCTGCGACGGCATGATCGGGTCGAAATAGGAGCGTACCTTTTTGTACTTTGCGACCGATCTGCTTCATCCGCGCCTCGGCCGCGCTTCTCGACGCGCCAGCCGCTGTCCCGTGCGGGCCTGCCGCGTCCCACTCGGCGTCCCGCCGGGTGCAGCGGCAGAGGCAGCGCTCGGGAGGATGTCTTTCTGCCGGGGCGACGACGATGCGCAGGGAGGGACGGAGGGAGGGAGGGTCGATTCTGAGTTCATAGGTCGACACGAGCGAGTGTGATCGGCTCTCTCCTTTAGGCTCGGCGAGAGGCTGCGTTCTGCAGAGCGAGGAATTGGGAGTCGTGAATTTCGATTGTAAGCGAGGACGGGCGATGGACGAGCCTTTGATCGAGTCGGGTGGAAGACCCGAGCATCCTCATCCCCATCATCATCGTGACGATTCTAGCCATGTAGCTTTCGGGGGAAGAACGGTTGCCATCGTCGGTGGTGATGTATACCAAAGAGCTGCTGCTCTCGTGGACCTGGTGAGTACTCTGATACTGGAAGTGTTTCTTGCTGACTTTGGTTTATATCGTGGTCACTGGTCGTTCGTTCGGTCGGTCGAGTTGTGAAATTAGATCCGTTGCATTTCTAGCACGTAGTGATTGCCTTGCACTGCGTAGTGCGATGGGTAGCCTTGACTATCATGTGTATACTTGTGAGCAAAATTGTTGGTCCGGAATGGCTTTGAACTGGTTACGGGCTCTATCGAGAGATTCAGTTACACTATCTCTGGTTGTCTTACGCATGTGAGCCTTAAGTTCTTCTGAAAATGCAGAGACACTCGGATTCTGGATTTCTTAAATTGTAGCTTAATAACTTTGACTGTGCCTTGTTCCTTGCAGGCAGAGGATGGAGAAGGAATTCCTTCTGAGGTTCTTGAGCAGGAAAATCTGAAGTTAGCAACTACGCTTTACTTCGGCTACACTCGTTTGGACCCATTTTGGAATCTGAATCTTGCCGCTCTTATTCTGCTCACCTTTTTCGAGGTAGAATTGGTTTGAAATCCGTAGCAATATAGAGCGATCAACATTTGCTGTCATCGTATATCATTACTAGCATGTTTGTGTGCATTTACACAGCTCTGCGGTTGTAAGTCAGATAGTAGCCATACTGCTCTACACAATCCATCAGTGTAAGTGCACTGTTGTATATTCAGTGACCCTCGTACCACATCTGATCATGATGATTAACTCTAAGACCCTTGAAACGCATAGCCTGTTTGTTGCAGGTACTTATTTGAAGCTTCAATTTTCTGTCATTCAACAGTCAACATCAGGCACTGCTTATAAGAAATCTTGTTAAATCTATTAGGGAGCGAAGTCGTATGTATGAAAGCAAGTCAGTTAATGCAAAAGTTGAATACTTATCAAATCACGTTACTCACGAGCCACAACATTGATTGCGACTTGTTTTGACAGGTTCCTCTGTGGTGTAACGGGAAATTCCCTGAGCCGTGTGGTTCTAAGGCCAAATACTATTTGGGAGACTTGCCATACTTGACTCGAGAGCAATCTCTGATTTTTGAGGTATAAACTTTAACTAAATGCCTATGGACTTAAGCTCATACAACGTGGGTTCAATCAGAACTCGGCATTTGCATTACGCAATACTTGGTGCCCTGCAATTTGAGGAAACGCATGTTTCACATGCGTTTCCTTAGTTAACGTGTTTACGGAAGTCAACTCAAGCTTCTGTCTACTTGTGATGGCCGATATTAACATCTCTCATCTCACAGATTATCATCTTCATAATCCTTTTGGTGTACACATTCTTTCCGATCTTATTCATGGGAAAGAAGCTCTTCTGGAGCAATGCTTTAAATAGCGTCAAAGTAAGTGCTCGTGAAAAACTATGTGATCATCTTCTGAACATTTTATATGATTTGTATACATTTCATTCTTCACTGTGCACTCAGAGTTGATTGGATTCGAGTACGCAAATTTCAGCTCCCTATCAACGCTGCCCTTAGAGATGATCGAATTTGTATCGGCAAGTACTACTTCAGTATAAAGGAGACATTTTTATGCACAGTTACTGATTTTTTGTATAACAATTTTAACGTCTTGATGGTCTCTTGCATCGTTACTTCAGGTTGTTCTGTTGGTTATACTTGGAATCGACACTCTATTAGATTTATTTTACGTCACACCCACCGGACCTTTAAGCAGCCTGCCCTTCCGTGTGGCTCCTTATGTACGAGTTATTTTGGTGGCTTCGAATTTGAGGTCGGTAGCTTTATCTCGTCCAAAGGAATGTTAACTCACCTATCAGAAGTTGTGAATAAGTAACACCTACAAATGCTAGTTGGCAGCCTGTTATAATATCTACTCTTTGCATAGTATGAATTTGTGTTTGTTGCTGCCACAAGTTTACCCCAAGACTAATATCTCACATACTGTCATATTAATCTATGCACTAAGGTACTCACTGCGATTGTTTTTAGTTCAGTCAACTAGATTCTCAATCTTGTCAGAGCTCTTGGCATTAACCCTAATAACAGAACAATAAGCATTCGATGATCCAAGTCATCTCGCGAGAAGTGTCAAAAAGATGTGCAGTTCATCAACAAGTTTTCCAACTGGAATGTCTTTACCTTGATTGTTCAGTGAAGTACGAGACAGTGTGAAGACTCTGGTTCAAATCCTGCCAGACTTTTTCGATGTTGCGGTGAGTGTACCTTGTGATCAAGAAGAGAATTTGTAGTTCCCTCTGCGATGGACTTTGTTCAGGAGTGTTCTTGGATAGTGAGAAAGTTGAATGTAAAACTTGCTACTATTTCTATCGAGGTCTTTAATATGCTTTTCTGCCCTCAGCTTTGCGTGATTTTATACACTGTCGTAAAAAATACTTAAGCTTATGCATCATATTGCAGGCTCTCCTCACTTTGTTCCTATTATTTTCAAGCTGGCTGGGTTATATTCTTTTTGAAGATACTGTGCAAGGAAGAGAAGTTTTTTCTACCTTCCCTGCTACACTATATGGTATGACGATACTCTTTACGACATCAAACAATCCTGATCTCTGGCTTCCAGCATACAAGTAAGCCGCTCTCCAGCTATGGTGATTATCTAAGTAAAAACTAGAGGATAAAATTAATGTGTTATATCTGGCATAGGTAGATATAAGGTTTGGTTTTAGAACTTTGCTTTTAGTTTTTGTATTTATGATGTGTGCCTTTTGGTGGACAGTTATGATCTGAAAGCAAATTTTGATTCACTGGTAAACCTGACAATATCTATGCTTTTATCGCGCAGGCAATCGCGTTTTGCAAGCATGTTCTTCATTCTGTACATCCTGATCGGAGTTTACTTTGTTACCAATCTAGTTCTTGCCGTCGTGTACGACAGTTTCAAGGGCCAGGTAATTGTCATTTTTTTCTGGTGTTTTTTTACTTTCTTGTCGGATAGTATTTTGGTCGAAGCGACTGTTGTTTACATACCTTGAGCATGGTTAAAAGAAAGCGGTATAATTCCTCATTATTCCAGATGAAATACTTTTGATTTAGTAACTAAGATTTATGGAGTTTGCGAAGTCCTGTACGAAGTCATCGATTTATTCACCTCTTTCTGTACAATTGGTTTTCTTTTCATACTTTTTTAGCTCGTCCACCTTTTGTTTAACACTAAAGATAATTGGCTAGTTTTCCTCCCTTTTACAAGATCTACCTCAAATCATTGTGTTGATTGTCAATACCATTCTACGAGCTGGCTTGTATGCAGTACAGCCAAAAGCCTTTTGCATCAGCACTCACACTCAGGTGTAGGAGTAAGGCGAAGGTTGGAGGGGCTCTATTGAATTATTACCGTTTTGGAGAAGGCATATGCCATCTCACCTTTGCAGTACAGTCGAGTTTACCGATTGTTGTAGAGGCTTAAATCCCAACAGAGATATTCTAAGACTTGGCTGAGTCAAGTACAGGACAAAAGACTAATTTCAGTTGTCTTTAGGACCTCGTCTTTGGCATAGGGAGACAGTGGTTATGAAATCATGGTGTTCAAAGCTTTATAACCGCATCTACAGAACAACAACATGGGTAAAGTGAACAATACCTCCGAGTTCTTCTTCTCGTAGAAATACCTTGAACCCATGGATTTGAAGCCATATCCTCAAGGGGTACCTTGTACAATCTCACCGTCTGACATTCAAGCTCCGGACTGAGGTCATTTCTTCGGTCCTCAGTTTGAGGAAGATGGGCAAGCACCACGCAACATGCACACTGTGTGTCCTAGAGGACGACACCTCTGTTCATAGTCTGATTATTTGCTTTGCCTTTGCCACAACGCGAGGTACGTTGTACCACAACCTAGCGCAGCTGATGTAGCAAGGTAGTCCTTTCAAAAATCCTCAGACAAGATTGAAATCCAAAGCTGCTAGTTTTCTAGCTAGGTGAATATTATACGGCAGTAAATTTAGGAAGGTGGATGAGCTACTAAGTGCTTCCTGACGGACATCCGGTAATTCCAAGTAACCTCGTACCCCGCCTTTTGCCACAGGCGTGGGTTCGGTCCTCCAAGGATGGACTTGATTCACTAATGATTATCTTTCCTTCCCTTCTTCATCCACTTCCACTGCTCTTTCTCGTTCTTTGTCACTTGCACTGATCAGTCAGGGCTAGGGCTCCTTGGTAGTATGGCTCTTACAGGAAAGTGTTCGTATAGCCTTTACCTATAAAACTTTTATGTATACTGTTTCGCATTGCTGTGGTAAACTTTTATAGCTGGTGCATTTCTTTATATAAATTGATTTTGTTCCTATGTTCTTCAATTTGGGCTCCTTTTGCAGCTAGCTGAACATTTGATAAAAGTGGAACAACAAAGGAACGAACTTTTGAAGACCACCTTCAACCTCCTAGACGAGCATGTAAGTCTTGACTCGAATATCATAACATCTACTGTGATACTAGGGGTTAGTTCCTCTTCTTCGGATCATTAAAGTTTATAATGAACACGGTTGGTGAGATCTTCGCGGAAGATGTTGCTGACATGTGAAAATTGGCTTCCTCTTCTTATTCAGAAAACGGGATACCTCGATGTAAAGCAATGCTCGTCCTTGTTCAAAGAGTTGAATAATTACAGGTACTAAAGGGGAAGTGCCGGATTTCGAAGTTCGTTGTGAAAGTGCTGTAAATTAGGCTGTGGGTGATTAGATTGACGTAGATAACGCGTGGTTAATTCCGGGATATACATTGGCCGCTTGATTTGAGGCTATGAACAAATTTCATTCTGAAAATTATTCGATGAGACTGGAAGAGCTAGACCTGAATGAGATTTTGTGATGATCAATTTTTAAGTTTGGACGTTCCTTTTTTGGTTAGGTATGTGACTGAGGCCATCTTTTGAGTAGAGTGTTTCGTCTTTAATTATTTTTAGAGATCTGATAGAGCCTCGCACGTGTGTTTTTTTATTTCAGAACTCTTCCGAAGATCGACGAGGAAGATATGGAAGCTGTCTTTTATGCCTTGGATGATAGTGGAGATTTTAAGGTAATAAGCAAACATGTGAACTTTGAACCGATATTTGTCCGGTGCGATTTGCGGTAGGAAAGACGACATCCATTTGGTAGAAAGCATTTTATCAATTAGTTGAGTTGACACGAAAGTTTTTTGGGATTTTAAGGCCCTCTTGGGAAGTTGTAAAGGTGGTGGGATAACCGTCAGCTGAATGTTCACCCTAGCACCTACGTGCTTTCACCGGGTTCATGTGCTCTTAATTTACTTTGCTTGTCAGTTGAACTAGTATCTCATTCCATCATCTGTACAAGCTATCGTAACTTTTTTTGTTTCAATAGCTATGCCCTCTTTCATAAGTGCAGATTAATTTACGTTGTTTGCAAAATTTCATCACCACTGAAGTTAAACGCTCTTGCCATCAACGAGGTTCCAAAGTCCCGGAGTGAGAGAGTCGATGTTGTTGGCGTTGAATTATTTCAAAGTTTCTCGCGATCCTCCTCGCCCATGATGGTACTATATCGGTTGCATTTTGTAGATCAATCTGGTGGAGTTCACCGATCTCTGTCAAGCAATTTCTCTGAAGTTCGATAAGCAAGAGATTGTAAGTTGATCAGTCAAACCGAGATATGACTAGATGTTCAAGCCGGTATTTTGATGAATATTTTCCTTGAACAGGTAATCTTGTCCGAAGACATTGTACATTCGTAGATTGTGCCATGATCACCGTGTTCTATGTATAACATGAATTTTCTGATTTTCAGCCACAATGGCTCGAGTCGTTTCCAAGACTGTACAACTCGTACACTTTTGCAAGGCTTCGAGATTTTGTGAGAAGCAGAGTCTTCGAGTATATCATTTTGGGCATGCTGTGCCTCAACTTGATAACTGTTGTCATAGAAACAACGGTATGTTTACCTTCCATTGTTTGTTACTCTAACACCGCTCAGCCAGTTCGAGAGTTCTAATGTCTTCAGGCTATGATAGGAACAAACATTGTCCAGCCGCGATCTGTTGCACAAAAGAAGATATCAACCACATATGAAATCATTTCAAGATACACAACATAGGGTTTAGATAACGAAAGTTTTGAGCTTCTTACAAGCAAGTCGTGATACTGTAGTTAAAGTGGACATCAAAAGGGTTTGTTCGCTGCACTTCTTCATGTGCCTAGAACACGTTGGTCCAGAAAGATTCGCCTTTTGACTTTATATCAGGTCTTCAGGCGGATGCTGGTGTGTAAAGTATTTTGTCGAATCTGCAGCACATTGAGTACGAGAGGATGTACTATATGCCATGAAGATGTAGGAGTATTAGAGGTTTGATTTGTCTCCTCACAAGGCCCCAATGTGTCGTATCGAGTCTTGGGTTGAGAGACCAAGTGGAGATGGAAAGATCTCTATATTGAGCTAATCTACTTTTTCTTTGTTCTCAGCTGGACATAGAGAACGACAAATCACAGAAATTCTGGCAAGAAGTTGAGTTCATATTTGGTAAGTCTCCAGTAGTCTTATCTCTCGGTCCCCTGGTCTCTTTGAAGGCGATAAATCCGAATACCCACTTATTCATTTATTTCTTTCATGATTTCTTGCGAATAATAATATTTAGATATTCTTCTCTTGTTTTCTGAGAAACTCGCATTTATCATTGTTTCACGTGTGACCCTGAACCTAAGATGTTAACGGTTTGGTATTTATGGTTTATGGATTGATTGTAAGGAATAGGACTGTCGGCTAAAAATGTCAGAGACCAACATGAGATGATCTTTCATTCGAGAGAAGAGGTTATACTCGTCAAGAAAATGTACCTACTGTGAGGTTGAAAGATGGAAAGTTTATCGACGATTTTGACAATCCGTCATCATTGCTTTTCTTCTGTAGGATGGATTTACCTGGTCGAATTAGCCTTGAAGGTGCTCGTATACGGATTTCAAAACTACTGGCGTTCAGGGCAAAATCGCTTTGATTTTGTCATCACATGGGTTATAGGTGAGATATTTGTTAAAGTGTGTAAAGCAGTCTCTCCTTTAGTGATTTGCCTTCAAAGTCTGCTTTAGGTTTGTACCTGTACTTGTCTGAAATACATATCTATCAAATCAAATGAAATCAGCGTTAGTTTCCCTTGTATCGTTCGTCGCGGGAACTAGCTCCCACACTGTATTGGTATAACTAGGCAACAAATACAGTCTTTTCAATTTAAAGAGGCTAGGAGATGTTCGTAAGAAGAATTTGAGTGGTAATTGTGACACGCTTGAACTGACTTTTCTCTTCTTGTAGTGATTGGAGAAACATTAGTATTACTTCTGCCCAACGGTCTGCCTTGGCTCACAAACACTGAGTGGTAACCTCCCATCAGAAAATTGTTCGGAGAAGTTAATTATGCTTTTTTATCTCAAAAGTGGTCACATAATATGCACTCTTTTACGCGGCTAGACTTCAGTTTTATCATTTTCTCGTTGTTATTCGTCTCTTTTTTTCCGTAAGGTATAGATAATTCTTTAGTCACCCATATTTCTTCTCCTCAAAGCGTTCACATGACATTGCAACTTGTACATCTGCAGGATCCGTTATCTGCTGATCGCTCGACTTTTGAGGTTGGTAAGAGTGTTGATGTTGGTCGAGAGATACCGCGTTAAAGTGGTGACATTTATCAACCTGATCCCCAATCTTCTCCCATACTTGGGCATCAATTTCTTCTTGATGTGCATTTACTGCACTCTCGGCATGCAGGTAACTGATATGAATCCTTTCGCCCTATCACTTTTATATGTATTGTAGTCCGTGACCAGAGTCGCTGCCAGAGTTTTTCGGATCTAAAATGTTTGCCTTCACCAATCAAATCAAAAGTGTCTTGGATACGTGACCAAAATTTCTGGACCCAAATGCTCGTGTGATGTTATCTCCTCAAGAAAAGGCTAGTTCAGATGGGGTTCGATTGCAGTAGCTTGTTCGAAGTTTTTGTTGCTCGAATTATGTGATGAGCGTCCGTGTTTCAGATCTTCGGTGGACTTGTGTACGAAGGAAATCCAAAATTGGACGGAACTTCTATGATGGAAAATGAGTATCCAGCGAAGACATTAGCTTTATTCTTCACTGTTATTTGACAGCTCTTCGCAACGCCTTCTTTTTTGCCTAATTGCTTCAAAGTTGCGTGATGAAGTAGGTTTTTATTTACTTCTACGAGTACATGATAGGTTTGGCTGATCGTCTGGATGATCTCTTTGAAATTGGTCACGCTTACACCCTTTTTCGGTCCCGTTGACTTTTGAACATATTTGAAACGTGTGAATAGCCTGCTGATATTATCAGCTGTTATTGTTTGTTGTGTAAGTTTTAGCATCCTCAAGTCATCTGAAGAACTAGAATGTCATTGCCTGTTGTTTTGTGACAGTTTAAAATAAGTGTTGTGAATCATGGTAGGTTATAATTTGATCTTATAGTCAAGGAATACCTCCTATCGGCTATTTCCTTAACTTACTGTCACAGCTATATGGTGCATAACTTCAACGACTACGCATCGGGAATGGTGACTTTGTTCAATGTACTGGTCATGGGCAACTGGCAAGTATGGATGGAGGTACGATACATTCCGTCATGTTTGAAGTGTGAATTTTGGTTGTCAGGCATTGTGTTAATTAATTTTGTCATCTTGACTTCGAAGTCTTCCTTAACTTCCGGTGTGATGTGGTTGATTCTGCCAGACTTATGGAATCCTCTCGGAACAGTGGTGGGCCATTACGTACTTCATGAGTTTCTATGTGCTGGGAATTCTCCTGATCTTAAACTTGGTGAGTCCAGGCGTATCGCTTATAAGCCTTGCATCTTCTGAAAGACTTGTTGCTTTTTATGGTTGGTTAGTATACTTTTGTGTATTAATTTTTAGATTTTTAATAAGTTACGTATTGGGAACAGGTCGTAGCATTTGTGTTGGAAGCGTTCTTCGCCGAGATAGAAATGAACGAGGAGAGCAAAAGTCGTTGCGACGACTCTGAGGCCGAGACAAGTTCTGATGGAGGACGGAAGGTGGACCCTCGGGTTGAAAAACGATTGAGAGCTAGAAGGTGAGTCTCGTGAATTTTCGAAATGATTGTACATGCTCTTTTATGCTTTCGTTATGCGGACATGAATGAACAACAATCTTCATCGTCTACAGGGGTGGACGAGATACTCGGGTTCAAAATCTCCTCAATCACATGCTCAGTGCCGAGCTGGAGAAGAACAAGGACAACTGATGATCTTCATTCCTGAAGCTTGTACATTAGATTTGACTAGGATCGAAATGGACTGTGTTTTGTGCCACATCTCCTGTATGTGCCCTTGACCTTCTCATCTTGGCACAACCAAATCAGCGGAATGTGAATCTGCAAATGTTATGATTTCAGTGCAGTAAAAGTAGCATCCAATTTCTCGCAAGCACACTGTTTTTCAGTTCGACTGGTATGTGGATGAAGTAAATTTCACGAACTTTGTGGGAAATATTGCTGTTGTGTCAAAAACTCTTGACCTTGATAGGGAAAGAAAAGAATGAACTGGATAAGAAATGTATTAGTTGACCGTCTTGAAGAATGGGCTAGCCATCTTCCATTAAATACAACAAGAACTATTTAAGAGCCATACTAAAATAAACATTTCGTATTTTCATTTTGAAAGCTATCCAGTCCTGAAAATACATCTACTTGAGAAGGGTACAAGTAGTTGTCACGTTTCGAAGATTTATGCGATTAACAGTTCAACATGACCAATTTTTTTCAAGGAAGGATAAATGTGGAGTGCTCTTTACAAATCTTCGCCAATTAGTCAAAAGCGCCCGTACGAATAGTGTAGCATTACTTGGAGATGATTGTTGATCCAACTTTGAGAACTTCAAATGAAGTTGACAAATACTCATGTCATATCCTAGAAATCGGAAACATCCTTTACTCATTAAATTATACCTGAAACCACATATATAAGTCTTTCCAGATTTTTGAAATTTCAAGAAAGCTTAACGGATATTCTTGATGTTGACTTATAGTCATCAGTTTTTTTCCCTTGTGCTATGTTTGCAGGCAACCATCTAAAGAAGTAAATCATTTTAATAATATTCTTGAAATATGCATTGCTTCTATTTGGAACAATGTAGTGGCTGTCATAGCGATGCAAGTCCGAATATAATGCCATCACGAAATGCATATAACGACTAAATACACCTCATAAAGTCCATAAATCTGTGATGCACACCACTGAATATAGTGTTGGAAACTGTGCCAATTGGAGCAACCGATGCAATATTGTACTTTTTTCTAATTGGTTTGAGCATGCGTCTTTATTGATATAATTTATGTCAATAAACACGCCTGCTCGGCATAACACATGTTAAATTGTGTAAACCACACCCCATTCAACCAATCATGTTCATGGACCATTACTAAGAAGCCTACTATTCCAAGAGAATGAAACGAAAGTAAAATTGGTACACCAAAGTATAATATATTGCGTTAGATGCACCAGTCCTGCTAACTTAGTTTCGCTTGTAATATTTCAACTAATTATCCTCTAAGTTTGAAACAATGCAGAACCTTCTAGGAGATATATTCAACGAGGAAGACGTCTTGAATGAACTCTTGAGTGGAAGGATGATAATGAGATAAGATCATGCTTATATGAAGTAGGCTGGTACATGAGGTTAATTATGCTAGAGTTGCGGATCAAGTAAAGGCTCCGCAAAAAGTAACTATTGTGTATAATACAAATCTTATGGTAACTTCTGGAAGTACTGGTTATTTAATGTCTAATATGCAGAGAATACCACAAGTTCATCCACCAAAATATACTGATACTTATATGAGCTTATGATATACATAGCATTATACAAGCTAACAATGTTCCAATTTCTTACAAAAGTCTTCTCTATTCACATTGTCAATTTTGTTTTATATTCATAAGATTTAGCACATAAGATTTAATTATGCAGAAGACTTTTTTGTTATCTTAAATTACATTGTTACGTAGATGACAACAAAGTTATAAGTGTTGTGTTGACAGATGATGAATCTATATTAATCCATAATCTACCCCATCTTTCTCTTTGAATACAGCATTGAATATGACTTAAAATCAATCATATTCACAGAATAACAGAGATGATAAATGTTTTGGATCTAATGGTAGATCTAAATCTTGGGACAAATTCCTAGATAGTAACAACGTGGTGTGTTGAAAATATGGCAAGATTGTTGACATCAAAAAAGACTGACGTGTAAAGATCAGAGATGTTGATATTTTGTTTGTCAATGTGGTTCAAGATTTTAATTCTGAGGAGTATGATTTGTTGGAAAATGGAATATGATGTCAAATGTATGCCCTATGCAATTCATCAAAAGTTTTTTGGGATGTACATATATTAAATACAGTTTGTTCTTATCACATTTGTTGCGTTAGAAAGTGCCTTTGTACTCTTTCAGTATCACACAGTTAAGTTTTTATGAAAATTGATCAATTGTGTAGAATTGATAGTATTGGATCTATTAAGATTTGCATGTTTGATGGAATTCAATGTACATTGATTCAAGTTAAATTTATACTTGATATGAGAAAAATTTTTATCTCTTTGCAAATGTTATACTCAAATGATCTTGGATGAAGCTCAAAAATAGAAGTGCTTGAGATTAAAATACTGACTTAAATTACGTTTATACTTGATATGTGAAGAAGTTTGATCTATCTTCGAACGTTGGACTCAAAAGACTTGAATGAAGCTCAAAAAAGGAGTGTTTGAAATTAGATATGTGATAAGATAATCTTTAGACTTCATAAGCACAATAATCTGTAGTTGCTAGAGGACATTATCATCTATGATGAAGTTAATTTTACTACATCTTGAGTAGAAATGTCTCATGTGTTACTAGACATATGAGTAATGAATACATGTGTTTCTTATGCAAGAGTAAATAGTTTACTAACATTGGAAGAGTTGACTTAGAGTTGTGCAAATATTGTATCATGGAAAATCATCATAGTCAAGCCTTTGGTGTTTGAACTCACCGTTTCAAAAGTTTCTTGAATATGTAAACTGACGTGTGAGTTCACTCTCCAAAAGTATATCTCTCAAGAAGGTTGTATCATTCATTAATAATTATTCAAAATTCGTGTGAGTTTATTTTCTCACACACAAGTATGAGGTGTTTACAACTTCCAAAAATGTAAAGTTCAAATTGAAAATTAGATTGAACACAAGGTAAGATTAAAACTTACAAACAATTGCAAGGAGTATACTTTTGAAAAAATTTGAACTTATTGCAAAGAGTATGGGATTTTTTGTCATCTCATCATTATCTATTCTGCAACAAATTGTAGAAAAAGAGTTATCAAAAATGTTAGAGAAGGTGCTCAGTATCTTGAGCCAATCAGGTTTACAATATGGATTTATGGAAGAAGTTGTGAATATTGCATTGTATATGATGAACTATTCTTCTTCTAGTGAAATCAATTTTTTAACATTGTTTGAATTGAAGCACAAATGCATGATTGATCATATTCATTTGATAATTTTGTGTTGTACGATTTATACTCTCATACCAAAAAGACTAGACTTAAGTTATATCCTACATCTAATAATTATCATTTTTTTGTATATGCTACTAGTGTGAAGCATTATAGCCTATGGGTTTTAGTAGTCTATAAAGTTATTGTCAATATTGATGTTTCTTTCAATGAGCATAAATTCTTGAAAAAGATAAAAGTTGTTAGATTTTCTATAATGACAAGAAAGAATCTCCACTCACAAATGATGTTGAGTGAAAGATTGATCCTTATGTGATTAATGAAGCGATATAAAGAGAAGCTTTGATATAAAGGTAATAAATTCTTGAACATCAAGAATTAGAGTAGTAGATTATTGTTTGTGAGATTCAAATATCTACTGTATATCAAAGAAATCAACCAAAATCTTCTACGTTGAGATCATTGAATTGGATTATTATAACTCCAGCAAGATATGGATATAAGTTGATTCATCCATTCTTGAAGATCGTGATATCGATAACAAGTATCATGATGATATTGCGTTAATCTTTGAAGAATAACCTTCTCTTTATGCAGAAGTTCAAACCTTTGTCAATAAGTTAAAGTTCAATGTTGCTTAATCGCAGATGAATAATTAGACTTGAGAGCTCGTGAAAATACCAAGAAATCAGACTTTGATTGATTCCAAATGGACGTACAAGCTGAAGTTCATGAAAGCACAAAATATTCCGCGGATTATGTATAATTTTTATGTATACATGAAGAAGGTGAAAAATGAAATCTTAAACTTATTATTTAAATATTCTACACGAATGACATGTTCATTCTGACAAAGAACCAATTTGACATTGATAGATGCAAAAATCAGTTGAAATTTACATTCAATATAAAAGATTTAGGTAAGTTCAAGAGATATTATAGATGTATATTCATAAGGAATTGATGAAAAAGAGACTATAGTTGAGTAAAGACAAGTAAGTTCAACGTGAACTTGACAAGTTTAACATGATAAAGTATTAAAAAGTGTGAACCAATTTTGCAACACATTTTAAACTTTTTGCTATTCAATGTTCAATCGATGTCATTGAGAAATAAAAGATATCATGTGATCATTATGATGAAGTTATGTACATATTCATGTATTTGATGATATTGTAACACTAGACAGAAGCTCATTTGAAGATGAAACATTAAAATCCAAAGATGAAATATCTTGAATGCTTCTCCTTTGACTTATATAGATACTTCAAACACATACATAAAGGTAAGATTTTCTCTCCACCATCCAATTCTCTCCTAATGAGCACATTGATTGCTGACATGTTGTTCTTAACTAACACACCAACTAGTACATCAAATCTTTATCAAACAAGCACACAGATTGATGACGTGTTGTTCCCAACTAACACATTAATTAGCACACGGATTGATGTTGTGGCATTGTAGATATTTCACTATCATCTACTATGTTCTATTTTGAGTGACCTCTACTTTAGTTCTAGCTAACTAAGGATGGTTACAGTAATGCAGAAGTACTAATATTGCTCTAACAATGGTCAAGGTAAACAATTACATGTCAAATTCATAAAATGTACATTGGAAAGTAATGAAATACTCTTCTAATGTATTTGAAGAGTATTTAGGACTATGATTCATTGTTTGATGATTTATTACAACAATGACAATTTTTTTCATGCTACGTTGATGTTAATTATGAACAAAATTTGGACCAAAGTAAATCTAGAACAAGATATATGTTTACATTTAGAGATGTATCTATTAGTTAGAGATTTACATTGCAAAAACATATAGCTCTATATATCACAGAAGCCGAATATGTAATGGTAGGTGAAGTTGCAAAGGAAGCTAATTAATTTAATAATTTTCTGTTTTAAGTTCATCTCATGA